AAGATGATCTTTATGGAACTGAACGACGCCTGGTCAGAGTTTGAGAACCAGGGATCCAAAGCACTCTTCTAAAATCCTGGCCTGGATTCCAGCTAGACCAGACCAGACCGGACCAGGCCGGACTGGATTTGGCCTAACAAAACAGGAGACTGGGCCAGATTGGACAGGACTGAGCCCACATTGGGCCTTAGGGGCAAAAAGCCTCTGAGAGGTGTCCTCTCTTCCATTCCCTCCCCCCTCCTTTACTTTCTTCTGTTTCTTCGATCAAAAAAAAAAAAAAAGACCTTTTGCCTCATGTCTGGCTGTAATGAAAGTTTCCTTGCTGGTCTATAAACAGCCAGTTAAATAAACATTGTGATCGGTCTTAAACTCACTGCCTACCTGCATGACTGCCTGAGTGGTGCTGCAAACATCAGGAGGAAGGATTAAACAACAATCACTGAGAAGACAAAGTGGGAACAAAATCAGATAATACAAGGACTTCTAAAATTATCAAGATGACTATCATGATAGTGATATTCAGATAAAACACCCCAACACTAATACATTAGCTGTAGCTGAATAGTTAATTCATTTGTGCTCGACACTTGTGCAAACAACCGGTCCTTAACTGAGTGGCAAACCTAAACTGAGCGTGGCTGTAAAATAGCTAGCATGTCAGCCAACATGAACGTTTGCAGAATGTTGTCCTGAAAAATCAGTTTTTATGTTTAGTTGCCTCAAAAGAGCCAATGCTGCTGCTGAATCATACTTGCTGTAGCAGGGATTGGATTTTTTTTTAAAAAGATCCTGCAGTAATGCAGAAGTAGGATTTAAATCTCCCCAGGATTTTTAAACATAAGATCTATTGAAAATGACCTGTATTACCTGTACTGCTGCACCTTCAGGGGTGAAGGCTTCTTTGGGGTTTGTTCTCCAGACAATTGCCTGCTGAACACTACTAGTGCTGCTTGTACCATGCTAATTTATTTTGCTGCACACACTCCTGAGATTGATGTTAAATCATGCTATAAACTCAAGTGGGCAGTCTGTTGTTTTTGAAGTGCTCTTTTAATCCCTCCCACTCAAGCTACACCATGTAGCTAACTGCATGCTCTCCTACACCAGACCTCTAAACAACTTGAGGTAGTATGTTTGATTTTTTTTTAAACCAGGGTAGTCCACATGGGCAGCAGCTTTTCTTCTTTTTCTTTTTTTTTTTTTTTTGGATGAAGTGCTCTTTTTCTTGTAGCAGAAATGGAGAAGGGATCTCCATCGTAACTGTCATTAAGCCCTCTCTGTCTCTTTAAACTTCGCCCACCTCCAGCATTTAGTTTTGTTTTTTGCAAGAGGAGTAACTGAAGGATCGAAAAAGAGAAAATGGTGATTTAACCTAGTTGCTCTGTGTTTTCTGTTTTCTTGTTTTTTTGGGGGTCCATTC